ACGGTGTGGGCTGCAGCCCCTGCTGCAGTGGTTTGCCATGGGCTACTGTGTGTAGTCAGCAGCCAGCAAGAGCGGCCAGCAGCCAGCGTGAGTGGCCGTCCAGAAGCCGGCGACTGATCTGCCTCGCCCAGGAAGAGCACAATGATGGTGCCAACTTGGGCCAGTGAAGCGACAACCTCCACAACTAGACTCAAGGATAGCAACTTGTCTGTTCCCCTTCTCCCAATTCCCCAGCGCTGTTCCCATCCCTCAATTCCCCAATAAAAAATCTTTAAAAAGAAATAAAATAAAATAAATAAAAATTTAAAAATCAGGATTTATCTAATAATCATTAGTGTATCAGTTTATTTTTAGTTTTCTTTTTTTTAGCTGAGCCATCCTGCCACCTGTTGGCAGCTCAGCGGCAGCTCAGCTCGGGCCGGGCATTGAACCGCTGTTGCTCAGAGATTGTACTCTTGAGCAAGCTCTTAACCAACTGAGCCACTCAGCCGGCCCTATAGTATATCAGTTTAAATAGCAGTTTTTACCTTCAGTGTGGTATATAAAATAATGGTGTATTTTACAAACTATCATGTCTTAGGTTTAGTGCAACACAGAAACTTATTTAAGTTTTTAGTTTCAGTTAATGTGGCTATTTTGGGGAAATGAAAATTTCTTTGTAGGATTTTTTTTCTGGTAACTGCGTTTTAGATTTAAAAATTCAGGATTCCTCTCCTTCGCTCCCACCAAAAATGTAAAAAACAAAATCAAATCTGTCTCCTTTGTTTCTCATTCAGGTGAATGGCACAGCATTGCTCCAGAACTCAGGAGTCATCTGTGACACTGCTCTTCTTCCCCCAAACATGCAATCCATCACCTACAACTAAATTTATCTTCTAAAGATCTCTCAGACCTGTCCCTTTACTCTCTACTTCTACTATCACCTTTCTAGTCCAACTTCCATCATCTCTTACCTGGGTAACTCCAACAGTCCCCTAAATGGTTTCCCCACGTCTATTCTGTCCCCCGTAATGTCTTTTCCACAGTGATTCTAGCTGATTTCTCCTTAACATGGTCTGCCAGACCCTTGAGGGTCCATGCCACCTTTTGTTTTGTCAGTAACCTTGGCCTCCTTAAGAAATTATATTCTCTCCCATTTATAAGGCCACTGAACATGTTGTTCCCATTGCTGGAAAGCTCTCTGTAAATAAATCTTATCCTTCAAATATCAGTTCAAAGTTCATTTCTTTATGGAAACCTTCTCTGATCCCCTGACTAGGCCTCTCTCATACCGTATAACTTTCCTCCACAGCACTTAACAGTTGTAATTTTGTAAGTGTTGTCCATGATGAACGACTTTCTGCTCTTTCCTGTAACAGCTATGTGAACACAGAATTGAATTCTCAGCACCAAGTTAATTGCATTCATCGAGTAGGTGCTCAAATATTTGTTGAACATGCAACTATTTAGTCTACCGTAACTAACATGATCTCTGTAACTCACAATTGCTCAGATTTCTTCAATTCAGCATTTTATTATCTTGACCAGTATCAATATCCAAATCAGTTTCCGGTCTTTATTTTTTTGCCTCTATACCACGAAAGCAAAGGCTGAGCTGATATAAATTTAAATAAGACTATTCTTATAGTACTTGCTTCATTTACCTCTTAAAACTCCATTTACAGTTTGGTTGTCCTAAAATTATAGCAGTGGATTCTTAAATTAACAAAAACTGAAAAATTCTGCTGTATTCTGCTTATGTCTTGAAATCTTAACTTTATTTAATCTATTCTTCATAAATCAATTGTCACATGTTCAAGTATTAACAGTAAAGAGATGTAGCCAGTAATCTCTTTAAACTACAATAACTAATTAAACGCTGTAGATCTCATTACATGTTAAATCACATATATGGGGAAAATAAGAAATGCATACAAATAGTACCTGTCCGAATACATTTACACATAAAAATCACAAGAAAGGAAATTGTAACAAGGGAACTTTAAGTTCTGATTAGAGAACTTCCTTTTTTTATGTTCAATATTTAAACATCCAAAAAGAAATATACTTTTTTCCTGAATATGAAATCAATGTCATCATACTTACCCAATTCTATTGCTCAACTGACATAATAAACCAAACACTCAGGTACATAAAGTAATACTGTGCAATCTTTGTAGGCTTCATAAGGAGTCATATCTGTCTTGTTCACCATGGTATCATTAGTCCCTGGCACAAGCAAGTGTTGAATGAATATTTACTGAAAAAACACATGAGCATATAATAGGAAAGCTTGTTTCAAGCTATTTTGCATGCTTGATCTTTCTCCCTTCAATTCCATTTGTGTGTTATGTTGCTACTTTCTTCTATCAGCAAATACAAAAGTGGTACAATAAACAGATGACATATTGGGCTGAAGTTTAAGAAAGAGTATGCATAATAAATGTAAAATAATAGGGGCCAAAAGCAATTGAAAGAAAGGTAAAAGTAGTTCTTTCCTTTGTATGCAATTAATGAAAAATTTCATCTCATAACACCCAGATTTCTTATGGAATTAAAAGAATTTTCACATATTTATCTTTAACTGTCTTAGCTTTCTTTCCTTTCCCAAACAAACTTGCAAATGAATGTCCAAGAGATTCTACCAAAACCAAGAACCCAATATTCACCTTACTATATACAGATTCATGTCTAGGGAGAAAAGTAACAAAAAGGCTAAATTTACCTGTATTCAGTAGGGCATATTAATAAACTTATTTCTCATCTACAGATTAAGAAAAAAAACTGAATGTCTGTAATACGCTCAGAATGATGGCAAAAGAAAACTCTTACTGGACTTTTGGAATAAGTTTATACTTAAATCAAAAACAGAAACAAGGGCCGGCCGAGTGGCTCAGTTGGTTAAGAGTCGGCTTAAGAGCGCAAGCTCTGAGCAATAGGGTTGCCGGTTCGATTCCCACATGGGCCAGTGAAGCTGCGCCCTGAGCTGAGCTGTAACTGAGCCCAACAGGTGGCTCAGCTGGTGTAACAAGACTGCCTGTTCGATGGTGGGCTATGCCCACCCACAACTAAGACTGAACTCGGCACCTTGAGCTGAGCTGCCACCCGGATGGCTCAGTGGGAGCATGCGCACTTAACAACAAGGCTGCTGGTTCAACTCCCACATGAGATGGTGGCTATGCCCACACACAACTAAGATTGAACACAGCACCTTGAGCTTAAGAGGCCATGAGCTGCCGACTGGAAGCCAGATGGCGACTGGCACCCTCCACAAGGAAGACTGAAAAACAACTTGGCTGGTCCCCTCCCCCAGTTCCCCAATAAAACCTTAAAAAAAAGTTCTCTTAAAAAACAAAACAAAAGCTAAGTATCAAAAGTTCAGTGAAGTATTTAAGAGGTTTTAAAAGTTTAATTTAAAGGGCTGAATGCTCTTCCCTACATTTGTTCTACACATTTTGAATACTTTGTTATGAATAACCTTAGTGGAATGTACACTAGTTATTGTGATAAGTATCCCAATAAAAGTAACTGTAAAAAGATGAGTATTTTGTGAAAAGCACAAGTGAAATCAAGGAAAACAGAAAAACTACATAAAGTGGAAGCTGAACTCTTGTTTCAACTACTTAAATCCAGAAGTATCACATTTAAACCTTAAAAATATTACAATATTTATACGTTGTTAAAATGATTGCCGGTTTCAAGTTAAAAAAAAAAGATCATGGGAAAAAATCAGAATGGTCAAGCCATAACTCCCACTTGCATTATTATATGAACGATAATATATGCCGGGCACATAGTCAACAGCATACGGAGCTTTTTTTTTTTTATCAAGAAAAATCGCAAGGTTTTTAGTTTTCACTCCGAAAATAAAGTCTCATCGTCGTATTTTCGTCTCATCGTCGTATTTTCTGACTTAAAGGTCACTTGCTGATTTTTTTTTAAGAGTTACTGCGTCTTTAAAGATTAAGCAAAAAGCTAGCTGCATAAGTAGGGCATCTAAACTTTAGTACATCCATGAAATTTAAAAAAGCTGATTTTAAATGCAGTATCGCCAACACCAATATTCCAAAGTATCAGGACCCTTAAGATTTACTAATCTGACCACCCTATCCTGAAAAAAAATCAGTCATCTTTTGCGATACAGAATTCTAATTTCTGCAATGTTAAATTTTTGGTTTGTTTATTTTTTACCGAGACTTTCAAACCTTCCCCAACGCCACTTACCTTACTACATGCATTACTGCTCTGCTTTTAACACTTAACTAGGTAACGACAAAAACATCACTTAAAGTACATCCCCGCCCGGGCCCCCTTTTACTCTGAATGCACGAGATCCGAAAGGTAGAAAGAGATGCCAAGGGAGGCAACTCCTGGGAGGCGGGTGTAGGAGGAATGGGGGAGAAGATCCAGTTGTCCGGGAGCGAACGGTTGTCAGAAAAATAACGTACACGTACTTATTTTCAAAGACACTTTGAAAATTGCGAACTGAGAATCACCCTCCCCAGACGTCTCTCCACGCCCTCGGGCTGTCAGAAGCCCTACTCCCTCATTCCACAGTCGCCTCCAACCACCCGAATTAACCTTCACCTAACGGGCAGTGAGGCTAGACGGCATAACCCCGGCAAAGGAGAGAGGAAAAGTGAACTGGGCGACAAGCGCTGGGAGCTCTCCCTGCGACGCTGCGCCGACTCATGCCCACCTGCGCAAGCGACCGGTCTTCCGTACTGACAAGTGCCCCCACGTCCTCGCCTTTTAGTATTTAACCTTCTCGTGCCCTCCTTCCCCATTCCCACCATCCTAGGAACCAAAAAAGAAGCGAACGGTTGTGTTTGGAGGAAAACAGGGAGGCCTGGCAGTCCTGGGGAAGGGCCCCGGAAAAGGCAGACTGCGGAAGGCTGCTGGCGCCGTTCTTCCGGGCCAAGGAAGGTTCAGCCGCTAGGCCGTGAAGCCTGGGACTCGCGTAGCGAGAGGCTACGAGCGGAGGCGCTGTGGGACGACCAGGACGCGGCGCACGGACTCACCAAATCTGGAACTTGAGCAGCGGCCCCGTGGCGTACTGCATCTTTAATCTCTTGCTAGGCACGCCACCCAGGTTGGCCGAGGCATCGCTCCTGACCACCGCCGACGCCGCCACCAGGAGCAGTAGCAAAAACCTCATCTTAACCCAGCCAGTCACTTCAGCCGCCCTCACACTGAGACTGCAGCCAGCCCAAGGCCGAGCCCAAGGCGCGAGCTGCTACCCACCGCGCAGGCGCGATCCGGCAAGGTCGGGGAGGGAGGCAGGCGTGCCCCTGTGCAGCCCGGCGCCTGCGCATGCTCGGGGGGGGGGGGGGGAGCGTGACCTGTTTTCACTGCCCTAACCCACCATCTTGGTTGTGTGCGGAGACTGGGCTGGAATGAAATAAGCAGGGAGGGGAAGAAGCAGCTGGTGGGATGTCAAGGTAGCCTATTAATTGTAGCTCCCGGCACACCTAGCTTCTACACAGAATGTCATTAATTCAGACATTTATCTGCCTGAGGCCCTTAGGAACACCTATTGAAGAGCCTTGATTCAGTGTGGGAGATAAAAGAGAAAGCCCGCGCCCTCATAACAGTAATGCATAACTGTTTCGGGGGGCCCTGTTATGACCTTTTATTTGACCTTATAATACTGCTGTCTCGTAAAATGGTTTTTTTTTAAAGACCTTTGAAAAAAATCATATGCAAAAACAGAATAACTCATTAACGACCTTTTACAATTATCGGCATTTTGACAATCATGACTATGTATGGCTCTAACCACTTCTCCCCCCAGCGAAGCAAGTATCAGACATTATTTCATCTTTATGACATCATTAGATATCATCATAGATAGCTAAGCATGTACTTCTAAAAAATAACTATTGTTTAAAAAACAAAAAATCCTGACCATAGTACCATTATCCCATCTTTATAAAGAAGTTATTGCTTAATATCAAATATCCAGTGTTCAGATTTCTCCTGTTTTAATAAATATTTATTTTTCTATTTTTCTCATTTATTTAAATCAGGACCAAAATAAAATTAATATATTGCCATTAGTTGATAGGTCTTTTGGTCCTGTCGAAGCCTTTAAGACCAAGACTATACCAGGAACTGAATAAGCTTCCTTTATTACTCATTGCAGCAAAGGGCAACACACACCATGAGGAACCAAGGGGATTCTCATTACCCGGGTGTTAAAAAGACTATTATACTATCTGGACTTTGCATGATTTGGGGAAGTATGTTGGGGGGTGGTGATGGAAAAGTTGATCACACCTTTAAAATAAAGTCTCTGTTAAATATAGGTCATTCTGTATCACTAAACCCAGATATTGCAATCGTTAAACAGGTCAGGTATGAATAGGAGAAGCAGTTGAACAGGAAGTTCTCAATAAATGTATGCCCTTAGTTCCTCATATCCAATACCTTGAATGTAGCACATGATCAAATTTTTTTTCTTAATTTAAGGATGCAGTGAAAGTCTGAAAACATTTCAGAACAGTTAATTTCAGCTCACTTAAACTTTTAAGTGACTAAAACTAATATCATATGTCTTAGGACAACAGGAAGTACAAAACCATATCTTAAACTGTTTTCAGTAATCACATTGATGTTGATACTACTTTGTTTGTATTATTATTCTAAGGCTATTGCATGTAATGTGGAATAAAGCAAATGTGATTATATTGGTGTCAATGGGAATGAAACTTTTGGAGTAGGAGAAAGGAAACAGATTTCATATATTAAAAAGTACATCATGAGAAGGTGGAGATAATTTCAGGGTTCAATAATTTTTTTTAATTAAAAAGTCTATAGTAAGGGCTGGCCGAGTAGCTCAGTTGGTTAAAAGCTCACTCACAAGTGTGAGCTCTGAGCAACAGCAGTTCGATGCCCTGCCCAAGCTGAGCTGCCACTGAGCTGCCAACAGGTGGCAGGATGGCTCAGGTAAAAAAAAAAAAAAAAGTCTATGGGAAATTCTCCAATAATGAATTAGATGAGAAATGTCATATTTCAATGGAATTTGATAAAATTCAACTCATTAATTATAAAATTTCTCAGCAAACTTAGAAGGAAATTTCTTTGACCTGATAAAAGGTATCAAACAAAAAGTGCAAATTTCATACTTAATTTGAAACATTAGATGATCAGGAAATTCCCATTTTAATCAGAAACAGGTTAAATATACCCAATCTCACTGCTCCTATTCAGCAGTGTGCTGAATTGTACAATTTTACACTATACCTAGTAAATTTGGTAAGATAAGAGAAAGAATAAAACATGTAAGGACTTCAAAGAAAGAAACAAAACTGCCATTGTTTGCTAATATGATTATTTGCATAGAAAACCAAAAAGAGTCTACAAACTTTGTGTGCAGTAAGTTTGCTAGATACAAGCTCAATTTACAAAAATCAAGTTATCTTTCATCAATAATTAGAAAATGTACTTTAAAAAGGTATTTAACAATATTTCCTAGAATAAACCCTTACTAAAAATATATACATCTATATAAACATATATAGTAAAACCTTGGATTGCAAATAACTTGGTTTGTGAGTGTTCCTCAAGACGAGCAAACATTTCTAATACATTTTAACTTGGTAAATGAACGATGTCTTGCAATATGAGTAGTTTGTTTCCAGAACGAATTATGCTCACAAACCAAGGTATTACTATACATATATATATATTCTTTTCTACTAACTCTTCAAGGCCAATTCACTGTTTCGTCAGTGAAGTCTATCCTCCCTATGCTGTGCCCCTGAAGCACTCAGCAATGAACTCCCTCTTAGTCATCAAATTTCATTGTAATCAGTTATTACTAACTCAGTTTCTTCTGCTTTTAGCTGAGCTTGGTAAGGGCAGGGACTGTCATTCATCCTTGTAGCTCAGGGGACCATGGAGTTCTTGCAATAAAAACAATGGAAAATACACTGAGAATAAAATGAGAAGTAATATTGGCTACTATTTATCAAGTGCCTACTATATACAAGATGCTGACAAGGTCTTTATGTATATTGTTTTAATTTATTAATTTCTGACACAGACCAAATGTTTGCATGTATGCACGTCATGGATGGGTAAGGTTTTAATCAGTGAAGAACGGGGAGAACACAAGCAAAGGCCAGGAGAGGGAGGGGTTGCCGCATGACTGCTGTTTTGGAGGAGTGGTTCCTGTAGTGGAAGAATGAGAAACCAGGCTGGGAATGTAGGTGGGGCAGATTGTGGAAGACCTGGAATTCCAGGCTAAGCAGCTTGCTTTTTTTTTTTTTTTAATTGGAGAACAGTGTGTTTTTCCAGGACCCATCAGCTCCAAATCAAGTAGTTGTTTCAATCTAATTGTGGAGGGCGCAATTCAGTGGCCCATGCTGGGATCGAACCGGCAACCTTGGTGTAATGAGCACTGCACTCTAACCAACTGAGCTAACTGGCTGCCCCTGCATTTTTTTTTCTATAGAAAATGGGAGCCATTGAAGATTGGTGGCATTATCAAAGCACTGTGTTAGCAAAACTGAGGTAGTAAGTGTGTGCATAAAGATTGAAGTAAAGAGTGTCTAAAGGTAGGGAGTCATATATAACAAGGACAGTTACCGCAGAACAGTCATTGTAACCACTTGGCATAGTGCAAAACCAAGGCACAAGGAATAATTAGATTTGGTGGGTTCTTGAGAAAAGACTTCTTAAAGAAGATCACTATAGGGTAAGAAAATATTTCCTGTAGAACCAATAAGATGTGCAAAAGTAGTCAAGTGGAGAATCTCGTTGAGCCTAGGTTTCCACAGCTGGAGCGCAGATGTGTGGCGTGTGGCTGGCAGTTAGACAGATGTGTATCTGGGTGGGGGTCGGGGGACATGGAATGAATGCTTCTGGGAAATAATGCATTGGAATAGAAGGGGCCAAGCAACAAGAGCCCAGGCAGCAACAGAGCACAGGTCTCTGGGGCAAAGATGATTCCAACTCCAGCATAGTGACTGGCACTGAGATTGCATCCCTATCCTAGCTTAATTAGACTCAAAACAGTGACAGGTCTAAAAGTCTAAAAATGTGGCACAACATTGGAACACCAGAAGTACAGTTTTCAACAACCCTCCCACCCAACAAGAGAATATAATGCAGACAAAAGGGAGACATTCTCCATCTTATCCAGAGACACAAACTATGGCACAGTGAAAGCTATAGCATATCAGGGTTGTGATGTGCAAAAATGTAATGAGATATTGAAAGAGACCCCAGTGCTCAGTGGAGCAGTCCTAGGTGCCCGCAGAGAGTGGGGTATCCAGCACAACACAGGTAGCATTCATCCGAAGACCTCTGGAAAAGTGGGGTGAAAGGATTCAGAGCAGGCCTCCCCAAGATGTGCCACTTTGGCCTGTGAATTATTTTGAACTGAAGGCACTCAAGACCCTGTGGGCTCAAAAGTAACTCTTACCTCTCCCTTAAAGAATTTAAATTTGAGACTTTGCCCATAATCAGAGTAATTATCAGAGATAACATTTTATGACCTATCCATAGGCCAGGGAGAACCTCTAATTACTGAACATCTGTTCTTCTTATCATCCTCTGAATGACCTTCCTCCCCTTTGAAGCCCCAAGGTTCTTTACCTGATTGTTTGCTCAGAATGTCATGTATACCTCATTTTTCCTTTCTGTTTCTGAACCTGTCATGTATGTGGGGTCCCTGACTCTTTCATGTATGTGGGGTTCCCATACATACGCATGTAGTTAAATTTGGTTATTTTCTCTTGTTAATCTAATCTATCTAATGTAGATTTTATTATTAAACCAGCTGAAAGGACCTAGAACAGCAGTTCTCAACCTTCCTAATGCCGCGACCCCTTAATACAGTTCCTCACTTTGTGGTGACCCCCAACCATAAAATTATTTTCGTTGCTATAATTTTGCTACTGTTATGAATCATAATGTAAATATCTTTTTGTTTTCCGATGGTCTTAGGCGACCCCTGTGAAAGGGTCGTTCGAACCCCAATGGGGTCACAACCCACAGGTTGAGAACCGCTGACCTAGAAGGCTTGAGGAAAGTTTCTTTCTCCCCACAGGGAGCACTTGATAAGAGTGAATTCATTTACCAAATATAAGTCAGACATCCCTTGGAACCTACCAGGTACATTTGGAAGTGTGTGGGGGGTGGGTTGGGGGGGTAGATTTGGGGGGGCATTAAATGATTATGTATGTAAGGTATGTTTAAGTCATTGACATGTGAGTTGGTATTATTAATGTTACTCCATTTATTCTCAG